CAAAGTCTTACCATTTTTACTTTCTGAATTTTCTTAGATCCATTCTACTACTACCTAACAATAGTGTTCAATGTTCAGGCGATCATTGTCTCTTGCCTGGGTTATTGCCTAGTCTCCTGACCGCACTTCCATTCTCTCCAATCAACTAAAAGTTCACTGCTATTGAAAATACACCCCTGAGCTTGCTGCTCTTGCAGTTCTTCAGCGTGCCATGTGAGGAATCTCCTGCTTACCTTTCTAGCTGGATTCATCATCATTCTTGCTCAAGTTTCCTGTACTTGTCATGCCACCTACAGTGGCCTGCGTGCTCATGCCTCAGGCCTTTGCACATGCTGTTTTCTTTACTTGTTGTTCTGTTCTACACATTGATAACTTCTACTCACTGTTTAAAAGTTATCTCCGATAAATTTTCTTCAATCCCCTCAAGCCAAGGGACTTTCCTTTATGCTATGAATAACTCTATTTTAGCTCCCATATAAATTTGTCTCCCCTTCTGATCTATACGTTCTTTATCTTTGCATTCTTTTTTTTAAAAGATTGATTTATTTTAGAGAGAGAGAGTGAGCGAGAGCATGCATGGACAGGGGGAGGAACAGAGAGAGAATCTAATGCAGGCTTCTGGCTAAGGGTAGAGCTGACAATGGGGCTCCATCTCACCACCCTGAGGTTATGACCCAGGCTGAAACTGAGTTAGACGCTTAACCGACGGAGCCACCTATGTGCCCTTTTTATCTTTGCCTTCTTAACATTAGTGGACCCCCTGTCTATAGAAGTACTCAACAATATTTATTGAGTGAATGGTTGAATTAATTAACTGATATCTTAGAGCCCTCCATTTTTATACTTTGTGATCTTTAAAATTCCTAAATATATTTTGTTCTCTTGCCAGGGTTAAAACTCATATGTTGCTTCTCTACCCACTTGCACAGACTTGTAAGGTCTTTTTTAATCCCATCTGTGTGTTTCTGCATCAGCTGGAAGCATTTAATGTCTCCTAAACTTGGATATCTTATGTGAGCTTTTTCTTCTGGAGCAATTTAAAAAAAGATATTAAAAAAGTATCAATTCCCAAGGAGCTGAATTCTTTAGACTTCTCTGTCCAGAGAAATCCCTAATTGACCCTATCTTTTTTTTTTTTTTATGTATTTATTTGACGGAGAGAGAAGCAACAGAGGGAGAAGGAGAAGCAGACTCCCTGCTCAGCAGGGAGCCTGATGCGGGACTCAGTCCCAGGACCCTGGGATCATGACCCTAGCTGAAGGCAGATGCTTAACTGACTGAGACACCCAGGTGCCCTGACCCTATCATTTAATTCCTATTTTGACCTGATTTAAAATTTTAGGATAAATCAACAGCCTAGGAACCTTTGAACCCATGATACCGTCAGTCAAAATAAAATAACCACAGTCACCACCCCAACCTTTTGTTTAGAAGGGTGGCATTAATCCTTCCCCCTTTTAAGGGTTTTATTTATTTATTTGACAGAGAGAGAGAGACAGTGAGAATAGGAACACAAGCAGGGAGAGTGGGAAAAGGAAAGCAGGCTTCCCGCTGAGAAGAGATCCTGTTGTAGGGTTCGATCCCAGGACCCGGGGACCATGACCTGAGCCGAAGGCAGACGCTTAACAGCTGAGTCACCTAGGTGCCCCCATTTGTTCCCCTTTTATCTGTGTACCTATTTCCTACATTAAATTTATCCTTTGAGGTGCCCTTCAGGAGAAATGATCTTGCCTTCTCAATTTCCTTTACTTAAACTCTGTAAATGCCTTTCTTCCCCCCCCCACCTGCTGCTGTAATATGTTATTTTTTTATATGTTCACTGAATCTATCCTTTCTCACAGATTTATCAGCTTGCTATTCAGGATTTGGTAGTTGCCTTGGGCGGGGATAACAAAGCATAGGCTCAAACTCCAAAATGTTTTAGAATTTAAAAAAAAAAGTATTTATTTATTTGAGAGAGAGGGAGTGAGTGAGCAAGAGAGAGCACAAGAGCAAAGGTGCAGAGGCAGGCAAAGGGAAAGAGAGAAGCAGACTTCCTGCTGAGCAGGGAGCCCAGTGCAGGACTTGATCCCAGAACTCTGGGATCATGACCTGAGCTGAAAGCAGACGCTTAATTGATTGAGTCACCCAGGCATCCCTAGAATTTTTTTTTTAAATTCCAAAGTTCCTACATTAAAGTTATCACAGTTAATGGTGAGACATATATAGCCATCATCAGAGTAAAAGAACTAATACTTTAAACCTTATCTTTCTTTGTAGTGATATATGCTCACAAAGTTTCACCTTTCAGAAACTACCTAGACATTGACCTTGCCATTCTACATAGAGCAGTGTAATGCATAGGTCACTTCGGAGGGTATTAAGTAATTAGGTTTGATTATTGCTCTATTATGCAGAGAATTTTCTTCAGCTCCTTCTGAATATTCATACTTTTTATCATTATACCTCTGAGAAGTGTGCATCCTATCTAAACATTCAATTATTTTTCCTCCAAATCACACTGAGATAAATGTAGGTAGTGCTATAAAATTGTGGGAAGTTTGAAAATCACTAAGAGCATCACAGGACAAAAACAGTACACCACGTTTGATAAATTTTAGGAAGACTATTTTAGGAATATTTTAGGAAGAATAATTTTGTCCTCTTTCCATAATTCTCTACTATTTTTTAAGTACATTCCATTTCTGATGTGCTACTTACTCAATCTCATGAGAACATTGGTAAAAGTATCATTACCCCACATTTAGAGATGGAAAAACATTCACTGAACAAGTAGAAGACTTACCCTGAGCACAGTGCTAATGACAGAGCTGGAACTAGAACCTAGACCAGAAATATAAGGGGGAAATCATAGCAAGCCAAGAAAACTACAAAGTGTCTTGTTTAGGGTAATTAGTGAGTACAAACAGTGAGTTGACAGCTACTTCTAACTGTCCTCCCTACATCTTGTAAAGAAGCTAATCTCCCCTAGAGCCTGCGTGAAGTCACAGACAGTCTGTATTTTCAGAAAGGAAGGAACTAAAAATACAGTAGCACAGCCATTTATTAACCTCAGGCAACATTATCCCGAGGTAGCAGAGTGTTTTGAAAAACGCATGTGATTTGCAATCAGAAGACTTAGGTTTAGATCTCAGTTATTTTGCCAGTTTCTTAATCTCCTTACACTAAATATCTATTTAGTTAAAATGGGGCTAATAACACCAGCCTTACTGCCTCAAAGGGTGTTGTGATGATCAATAAGATACTATCTAGAAGCACTTTATAAATTATGTCATTACTCGTCCCTGTATCATAGCAAATAAAGCAAATCCTTCCTGTGTAGGAAAGACGGTAACATAGTTGTTAACATCACGGCTTAGCAGTCATACTGACTTGGGTTACGGTACAAGAAATGCCACCTTCTTGTTCTGTAACTTGGCTCAGGAATTTAGTCTTTCTAAACCTCATTTTTCTTCCCTTTAAAGTGGGGGAAATAATATCTTTTCATAAGTTTTATAAAGATTATATAAGATAGGGTATGTGGAATACATAAGCTATTGTTAAGCTCTCTTGAATTAGTTTTCTTTAAGATGAACTTTTACTTTATATTAATAATTTTAGATTTCCAGAAATGTTGTAAAGATAGTATGGAGAATACTCATCTACCTTTCTTCTGGTTTCTTCTGTTGTTAATATCTTACATTTGCTACTTCTGAACAAACATTGATGTATTACTATTAACTTAACTACAGATTTTATTTGGATTTCACCAATTTTTTTATGAATGCCTTCTTTCTGTTCCAGGAGCCAGTCCAGGATACCACATTGCCTTTAGTTGTCATGTCTCCCCTATCTCCTTTGGTTTGTGCAGTTTATCAATCTCCTTCTTTTTCATGACCTTATCATGAAGGAGGAATATTGTCCAGGTATCATGCAGGATGTTCCCCAGTCTGGTTTTGCTTGTTGTTTTTCCCGTGATTAGATTGGGGTTGTGGACTTTTGGAGAGAAGAGCAGAGAGGTGAAGTGCTGCTCTTGTCACAGCGTGTCAGGGCTGCCTGATACCCACATGACATCACTGATGATGTTGACCTTTATCACTTGGCTAATGTAGTGTTTACCAGGTTTTTCCATGGTATTTTGAGCTAATTTTGATCAGCTATCACTTATATCAGACTTTCTCTTCCCTGTCTTCCCACTGTTTGGAATGCTTTTCATTTATATTTACTGCAAATGTCATATTCAGAAATATCTTTTCTGACCACCCAAGCTAAAGCAGTCTCTATGACATTTCACTTTTATGTTTTCTTCACAGCATTTATCATTGCCTGAAATTGTCTTGTGTATTTGTTTACTTAGTTTATTCTTTGTTGATAGTCCCCCACCCCCTCAAACAAGAACATAAGCTTCAGGAGAACAGGATCCTTGTAGGATTCACATCTGTACACTTGGTGTCTAGCACAGGGCTAGCATATACTAAATGCTCAATAACTATTTTTTTGAATAAATGTCAAAGAAAGAAAGACCCAGGATTAAATTATTAGTATTTCTGAAAAAAAGGTGGAAAATAGCTGAATGGTAGGAGGTTCAATTTAATATTCTTAACTGAATCAGTCTAGTTTTAATGAAAAGGTTAAATGCAGTCATAAACATCTATGGAAATAAGTAATCAACATCCTTGTAATTCAGGCTCTCTTATAATGCACTTAATAATGTGAATGTCAGAGTATTTTTCTGACTTATAAGCAAGATATGACTGACAAATATAAGATCTACTTAGTTATTATACATCTGCGCCATTGTGACCTTTATTTGCTAATTGGCTCAGCTTTCCTATTGTAGAACTTTTTAACAGAATTTGAAGGAGTGTAGAAATAATTGATGCCCTTGATTTTAACTTATACCTGACTTCTTAGTGTCTATTATCTTTTCATTTATATTGACAGAAAAATGGAGCTTTTTTGTATAAATCTTTCTTTTATAACCCATGGTAAGGAAGCTCTCTTTTTATGTGTTTCCTTAGGACTTAAAATCTCCAAATCAGAGGGATGAAATTGCAGGGGCCCGGGCCTCACTGAAGGAGAAGTCCCCACTCTTGCATTCAATTTGCTCAGCTTGTTTGGAACATTCTGATGTTGCTTCCCTCCAAGCCAGCAAGGACACAGTTTGTGAAGAAATTCACAATGCCCTCAGTGTAATTTCAAATGCTTCACAAGGCATCCAGAATATGCTTGCCCCACCAGAACCTAAGGCAGCAACACTAGGAAGTGCCCTTGATGAGCTTGAGGTAAGTGGAGAGAAAGATAAAATGTGATTTGCTGTGTCTCAATATGAAAATAAACAGATATGGGTTTTCAGATTGGAGTGTAGACTGTGAGTAAATAAAAATCCAATTACTTTATCAGTCTCCATCATTGCCTTGTGTCTCCCAATAAAATGATTAGCAGGAAAATATTCTATCAGTAGACTTGATTCCTTTACACTTCTCCCAAGGAAGTCAATGAATTTAAAGTGGGATTGTTGATTACACTGAAGTGATGATTTTAGTTTACATCAATCAATTTATGAAATATAGGATTTATCCATTCCACAAATACTTATCATTGGCTATGTTCTTTATGCTTGGGATCAAATTGAGTACTGCTCCCATGAAGCTTATGTTCTCAAAGAAGAATAGAGGCAAAAAAACAAAAGCAATGGACATCATAGATAAGTAAATTGTACAGAATATTACATTGAGAAGGCAAGATGACTTGGAGGTTTGAAAGAGATTAGATAATTGGGCAGATGGGGATCTAGGATGAAGGTTTGAAATCATGTCCCGCTGTTTAAGGGACAGCACAGAAACCAGGGTGCCTGAGTGGGGAGAGTTAAGGGGATAGGTCAGAGCTGAATTGAGGAGACCCAATAGGGACAGGTTATGGAGGACTCTGTGGACTTTTAGGGGCTCTGGCTTTTACTTCAAGTTAAATGGGATTTATTGTAAGGTACTAAGCAGAGGTATGACACTTGAGTCTTAAAAGGACTATATCAGTTGCCTGTAGCATATAGACTGAAGGGGAACAAAAAGAGAAGCTGAAAAACCAGGCAGAAAGCTATTATGGTAATATATGTTCCATTCTTATATTTTATGTTCATCACCTCATTCCACCTCACAGTTTAGTTTGGACCAGGGTGGCATCACTGAATATTAAGGCTAAATTTTGTAAGTGAAACCAACTGGATTTGACAGAACAGATGTCAGATGTGAGAGAAAGGAGTCATGGCTGACCTTGCAGGCTGGGTCATCCAAAACACACACTGAACAGAGTTTGGGATACAGAGTGTTGTTATGTATTAGTATGTGAGAAGGGAAGAGGAAGGGAGCAGGATTGAGCCAAAGAAGTCTACCTGTAAGCCAGATCCACAAAGCCTAGATCAGTCAGCAGAGAGCTCTAGAAGGAGGAGTCCCCTCTAGTGTACCTTGTCAAGCAGAAATAGCCAGGCTTTTTTTCTTTCCTCTTTTTTTTTCCTTTGCCTCTGTCAGTCACTGGGCGCAGGTCATCCTGCCGTGGGAAGGCTATATGATGTCCAGGGATAGGGAAGAAGGAGCAGCCCCTTGCAACTGAGGAACTGACCACTGGGGGCCATCTGCTGGCCTCAGTCCCCACAGCTGAGCAGTAAGTCCTACTTGGAAGGGAGATATGGACAGTACACCTCTGTGTCTACCAGAGATAATGACAAGGTTTTTTGTTTTTGTTTTTTTGTTTTTTCTTTAGCAACTGCATGGATAGTTTTCATCAACCATGATAGGGAACACTGTGGGTGAAGCTAGTTTTGAGAGGGAGATCAGAAACTCAATTTTCAACATGTTGAGTTTGAGATATTTATCAGACATTCAAGTTTGATGTCAAAGATAATTAGCTATACAAGTCAGACATGCAGTTTAATGGGAAGCAAGGTAGAGTAATACTTAAAGATAAGGGTTTTAGATCTCTTTATGTTGGGGTTCCTATCTCAGCTGTGGCACTTGTTAGGAAAGTTATTTAATTCTCAGTTTTCTTACCACTAAAATGGGAATAATAATAGGGCCTACTATGTGTTGTCAGAATCAGTAAATTAATAGTACAGGTAAAATGCTTAAAACAGTGACTGGCACATAATAAGTGCTCGATAAATTTTAGCTCTCCTTATCATGAGTGGAGACGACTATTTGGAGGCAAATTCTTCTCTAATGAAATCAATGCAATTCAATTACTGAAGTTTTCCTAGTAATGTAAAAAGTAAACTAAGCACATATAATTCCAATATTGTTCATAACATTATTTTACTTTCATGATAAACTTAGCATGAAAAATCTAATTCATTTAAATTTATAACCTTTATGTTTTTCTTTTAGCTACATGTCTTTAAACAGATGCCTTTATTTCTAATCAACATTATTAAATTCCTCATTATCAGTACCTGTGCAAAAATTTGTTAAGTTCCTAATTATTAGCACCTATGTGAAAACTCTAGAAACTAAATAAGGTAGATGATTAGTGGTGACTCTTGAATGGTACCCATAATAAGATTGAAAACTCTTTGTAGGCAAGATTGTGTTTCTTAGTAATTTTATACCAGTGATACTAGCAGAAGTTAGGTCCCCCATATTAGTATGTAACATTTCTTGATAGCTAAACAGTTAACATAAATGTATGACTTAATTATTACAGCATCCTTATAAGATAAATACTTTTGTTTTGCAGAATAAAACAAAATAAAACTGAGACTTAGATAAGTTATATAACTTGCTCAAATCAGAAGCCTAGTGAGTGGTAGTATCCAGGAAGTGATCTAGTCTGATTCCAGAAAGTATTTCTAAGTTCTGTGCTATATTGAATTCTCACAGATACTACTTAATGTGCTTTTTTATGCTAAGATTCTTAGTGTATGTGAACCATCAGAGAAATTATAAATGTAACCAAGCACCTGGGTCATTTAAATAGAGCTAGTCTGTATTTGGAGAGTAGCTAATACGGTGAGGTAAAATTTGTTAAAATGGATGGATAGAATTGTATATAACATTTTTCATAGTACTAAACAGAATTATGTCAGGAGTAAGATGTCCAGTTTATCCCAGACACTCACTCTATATTCTTGGAATTATAGAAGAAAACAGATGATTTCCAAATTTTGGGACTTCTGTCTTACTTTAATTGAAAGTGGCTGCTACAGGCAAGATAAGGCAGTGGTTAGAGAGAAGGAGAAAATGTGTGTGTGTGTGTGTGTGTGTGTGTGTGTGTGTAGCACTGACAGGAGTGGGAATAGGTATAGTGATGGTGCCTTCCCTTTTTCAAGATAAGTGGCTGACTCACTTCTGAACAAGGCAAGAGGGAGTCCCAAAGATATTTCCTAGAAATCTTAATGCTGTCTTAACAACCTTTGAAATCAGTTCTCAGTTAAAGCTAAGGCTGCTCAAACCAGTACAAAATATATATAAGATATCTGAGTTACAAATAGGTGCTGAGGCTGTCTGAACTAGATAAAGCAGAATTTATTGAGCATTTAGCTTTTTAAAATGGTTTTGTAAATTAAATGGTTGCATTTTTCTTTATTTACAGGAAGCTGTGTTGGTAAAAGATCCAAAATAACCTTTGCTCTGTCTTGCTTCTGCAAATATAATACTATGAAATAAACTGATGTAGTAAATACTCTGTTGGGAGTAAGTCTCATTAAATGTTTATAGTGTGGAAATGTATCAGAGTGCTTATTCAACAACTACCATGCTGAAGCTTTGTTAAATCTTTCATTCTGGCTCATGGCTGGTTGTGGGTATGGAATCCGAGATTTATTGGTAAAGGAGAAAATAGAACTTGAATTAGAACACTATGCAAGCTAAAGGGGTTGATTCATTGGAGAGCCTAATGTGAATTATAGGGCATTCTTTTGCATTTGTGACTGAATGAGAGTTGCGAAGAGTCAAATTATAGATTAACAGAATTTTGAAAATACTTTTAAGCAAGAAACTTTGCCAGTGAAAATTGCTTTGAAACTCCAAGTCCATTAAGACATATTTTCTCTTGTGCAGTAGGATAAAGTAGCTTTTATAATCATGGTCTGTAAGAATTATCCAGATCCTCATGTGATAAAGATGATAATAACAAGGGTATTTTGGGTTTTTTTTTAGTATTTTTTCATTTTCAAAGAACTATCATATTTATTTTCTTATTTTTAGGTATTCATTTCTGTATCATCATTCACATATTTCTTTATTCCCTATTTTTTGTTGTATTTCCAACACCTAGAACGATGCTCTATACATAGTAAGTGCAAGGTGATTATCATTGAATTGAAAGAAGGAAGCAAGAAGGAGGGAAGAAAGGAAAGCATGCAGGTAGCAATGCTGTATGTCATTTTGTGATTTGGATTGAAGAGCATTTTCCCTTTACTCCTTTTTTCCCCTTTCCTTTCTCCAGTTGGTAGTGTATGTACTCGGGGTATATTGCTCTACTTAACTTTTAACTGGGACATGAATTTAGTGAGGTAACTACTAGAAACATATCTAAGTGATAGGCTACTTAGATTTTTTTCTGTGATAAGAGAAAAATTTTTTATTCTTAGTAGTTATTTAGCCTAATTTCTATCCTTAGGTTAGATTCCCTGCAACTGCCAAGATCTGCTGTCTTTATTAAGAGTAATAATTTTGAGGAATGTTTTTACCTGAAGGAGAAAACAGGACGATCCTGAGTAGCATTTCGTAGCTAAAGAAAAAATAGGCATCACTGATGACTAAAAGCACTATAATATGATTTCTTTTTAAAAAGTCTTGATTTCTTGGGGCGCCTGAGTGGCTCAGTGGGTTAAGCCTCTGCCTTCGGCTCAGGTCATGATCTCAGGGTCTTGGGATCGAGTCCCGCATCGGGCTCTCTGCTCAGCGGAGAACCTGCTTCCTCCTCTGTCTCTCTCTCTGCCTGCCTCTCTGCCTGCTTGTGATCTCTCTCTGTGAAATAAATAAATAAAATCTTTAAAAAAAAAAAAATAAAAAAAAATAAAAAGTCTTGATTTCTAGAAATATAGTGAACCAGAAGAACTAAAAGTGATACATAAAGTATTTTTAAATGCATGGGTAATATGATAGGTAAATTAGGGAAATTCAGTTGAGGTCAGCCAGATACAAAGAGCAGACATCCAGACTAGCAAGCCAGCAACAGCACTGTGCTGGCGGATGTGAGAATTTCTTTTCCATTATGGCCTGTAGCTTGAATTTTGAAAGACCATGAACTGAGGACAAAAAGCAAAGCTTATATTCTGGCCCCTGGAAAGTCA